GGATAAAGGTAAAGGTTCCCTTGCTTGAAAGCCAGTCGAATCCGACTCTAGGGTTGTGGTGCTCATCTCCATTTCAAAGCCGAAGAGCCAGCGCTGTCCGAAGACGTTTCCGTGGTCATGTGGCCGGCATGACTAAACACCAAGGCGCACGGAATGCTGTTCCCACCGAAGGGGTACCTACCGGTATTTATCTACTTGCAATTTCTTGCTTTCGAACCGCTAGGTTGGCAGGAGCTGGAACTAGAGACGGGAGCTCACTCCGTCATGCGGCACCTGGGTCTCGAACTGCTGAACTACCGACCTTCCACAGCCTGCAGTTCAGCGTCTTAACCACTTGAGCCACCGCAGCTCCTAGTAAGTAGCTACCCCTCCCCTATTTTCGTTTTAGATTATTAGTATGTAGTTTTTAGAAATGTAAATTAAAAAATCCCCTACAGGGGGCTCAAAAAAAAAAGACAATAACAATCACACAGGAAATGTATGGATCTGAGACTGTTATAGAGAATCATGGAATGTGGATTTTTCTAATTAGCTAGCATGCTCATTGGAAGGAAATGCATTACAAATTCCTGATTCTACTCTGAAATAATCTATTGTGGATCTTGAATCTGGACAAGCTTTGACTGTTTCATCCATTGGACTTTGATGTATATGAATAATGGTGTTTGTACCTGATATGGACATAGGAAATTGATGTCTTTGTGACTGTATTAACATATAACCACTATGCAGTGGGGTTGTACATTCTTGATTGAACAGAGGTTATTTTCTATACTATTATACACAGTTGTGTTGGGCTTTTTTATTCATATATTGTGCAAGTACTGGTTTGCTTGGGTTCAGTTTATTATTGAGCAACATTCATTTCCCCCAAAATGACTGCCGTTTTTAAATATAGGAATAGCCAGACTTCTTGGAAACCCTGACTAGTTGGCATAAATCTGGGTTAGGTACAACCCTAATTGTTGTTTATGAAGGAGCATGCTGTTGGTTTCTATGATGCTTAAAGGGAACATTTATTAGTACTGAGGCATCCTGGAGGTGAAACATAGCTAAAGGGGTGCCATACTTACGCTGCTAAGTCAAGAACGTGAATGGTTGGGACAAAATTTTTTCCATCACCAAAAAACGGTATTGCAGGAGTCTCACCGAGCCAAGACAGCTGGAAATAATTACAGAGGAGTTTAGAGTTGTAACATTAGTATGATTTCTGAGATGTCTGTCTCTCAAGAGGCCTGGCTCATCAGCTGAAAGAGTGAAACTAATGGCCCATTTTATAGGATCTGAATTATACAGTTCTGTAAAGTTCTGCACATACACCTGAAAAAGTACAAATAGATCTATCGTCTTCACCAACACAGCAGAAAATGTACCGTGAGGCTTTTCACTGCTTCTGTCTAATGTTATACCGTATAAAAGTTTTTGCAAAATTTAGGAGCCACGGCTTGGAACATCATAGGCCCAGTTTTTCTCCCTTTGGTAAGTTGCAAGCTGCCCATGATGACAGTAGCTCTGTTCTATGCCATACCCATCGCATTTTACATTTAAAAGGATGACAATTCAAGCCCTATTATCACAGGGGTTGGGCTTCGACCCTGGCGACCTGTGTTCAAGTTCAGCCTCTACAACAGGGTCCCTGTGTGGCATCTAGGTTTGCCAACCCCCAGGTGGCACCTGGAGATCTCCCATCCTTACAGTTGATCTGCAGATGATCAAGATCAGTTCCCCCAGGACAAAACAGCTGCTTTGGAGAATGGAATCCTGCAAAGGTCCCTCCTCCAAACTCCACCCTCCCCAGGCTCCACCCCCAAAATCTCCACCTACTTCCGAACCTAGAGCTGGCAACCCTGGGCATCATGCAGATCTTAAAATCCCCGCTTTCAGCTTTCATAAACCAAGCCAAATACAGTGTTTTCCAAAGCTTACTCCCCCCCCCCAGCTCTGCTGTTTACTTCCATTCTTCTACTTCCTGTATTGTTCTGTTAGGAAAAGAAGAACTCTGCCTGGGAACAAACCCCCCCCCCCAGGTCTTAACTCAATGGGAAATAGGTGATGAAATTTGACAATGCTTGTTGGAACCAATAATTCTGTTTTATTTCTAGCTGTCATAGGGGGTATAAAACCCTATGTCTCCCATTGTAATCTTAGGGAGAGCTGTGGGGTCCAAAACCTTATTGGATCTGCACCTCCCTCCTTTGTTGATCAATAAAGTACAAGATTTGATTCTCCTCTACAAGACTGCTTTTGTGTGTTTTCTCAAATTGGCCTGGGCAAACACAATCAGGGACAGAGGTTCTGTCTTACACTTTCACCCGCCATCACTATTTAAGACATTTGTAACTAACCATGCCAAGTGTGTGTGTCGGGAGTCTCTTCTTTTTCATCCTCCTGTTCCACTCCCTTTCTTCCTTTTCTTTAACCTACTTCTGCTACTTTTAACACAAAGTATACAAAAGCTGTCCATTACAGCTGAGAAGGAATCTTGAAAAGTGGCAAGGCAGCCACAGACTAACTGCAGCTCTCACCTCCGTTCTTTGCAAATCCAAACGTGAGCCTCAAATGCACACAGCGCCCCCTACAGGCACAACTGACACCTGCCCTCCTTCTCAGCTGCTGGGGAGGGAGCACACTGCATTCTTGTCTCTCCCACATGGGAACCATACAATAAAACCCTGGTGGCTAGGCTAATAGAATGTTGCATCCCTACTAGTGATATGTTAGAGGCTGATCCAATCAGAGGACAGCTTTCTGAACCGGAAGCCGGTCCCTATGCTCTGATCCTAGAGTTACATTCCTAGGAAAAGGACAGCCATTCAGTTTTACTGCATAACAGCTACCTTGCTGAATCAAAAAAAATCCATCAACAACAGCAGTGGATTTCCAACACAGCCAACCGCCTAAATGCTGACAAGTTTATTATGCTAAAAAAATTCTTTTTTAAAAATGCTCTTCAGCACTCTCATCTAAGGCTGCATCCACACAAAAACACGCCCCTGTCATGGGAGCAGTGGCAGCAGCATCAAGTGGCACAGCTACAGGTGGTAACAACAGGTGTTACAGGTGGTAACAGCATATCCACAACAGCATCCCCCCATTCCTATTGTCTGCTGCCCCCCTCCTTCTGCCCCCCTTCTCCCAAACACCCACTGCCCCCCTTTTTCCTGTTAACAGCTGCATAAAGTGATTTCTCTGGGACCCCTTGCAGCCCCAAACCCCAGCCCTACTGAGCTGTGCCTCAGTGAGGAAAGCGAAAATGGCCCTTTGAAGGGCTGGAGGAAGAGGAGATGTGGAGCATGGCTCTGCTCCCATGGCGGCAATGGGGGAAGCGTCCAGAGGGATGCTTCACCTGCAGCCACTCAGCAGTTTCCCTTTTATTTGCGGGGGGGGGGATGCTAGGCTTATATTTTGTCTGGAGGAAAGGGGAGAAAATGGAAGCCAGCAAATCAGGAAGAGATGAGGTTCAATGTTGTCTAGACACTGCCCCTTACTGTGGAATTTCCCTGCTCCAAGCAGCCCAAGTCACCTTAAAGAAGTAGTGCAGAATTCTTTCTTCCATTCCATATTGAACACCGGAAGCGACAACATAGGTAGCAAATCTGTTTTTGTTCTAGAGCGGGG